ATTCGTTAAACATAGTATGAATTTTTAATTACTAAATTCAGTATAGTAAGGGTTTTTTTATATTTAAAAATCTATCTGATACTGAAAATTCATTGTATTGTAAAATTCGTTATATCAAAATTCGTTATAGAAAGAGTTGACTGTATATAATACAGAAAATTATTTAGGGTAAACAATAAAATGGAAGTGCTCTACTTTAGGTTCCTTAGTAAAAATATCAATAAAATTTTCATGCATGTCCATTTCCATTTCAATAACGTTTCTGGCTCAAATTATACAAATTTTGAAAGAGATTTTATTAAATAGTGCCTCAATCTACTTTGAATTGCAGTCTTGAGATTACTATAATAACTACCTCTGCAAATTGTAATTAATTGCATTACTTTAATGCATAGAATATTCATAAGTTTGCCTATAGAAATAATAAAACAATTGATAGTAATGTTGTTATCGTCTATTTCAACTCCTAAATATAAGAATCCAATAGTAAGAAAATTGTTTAGCCTACTTGCATTAAAAAATATATACTGTATATACCTTATTTTGCGTTATATTTACAGGAATGTTTTTTGCGAAAAGTTGGCTAAATTTTCATATACTCCTACATTGCTTTATATTTTGCTGAAAAAAAGTTAAGAAGGTATGAATTATATTTAGTATTGTCATTTGGTATCAAAAGTTCTATGAAAGCACATGCAAATGAAATTTTCAAACTTTTTCACATGTAGATTTACCAGAGAGACTATAGTTAATTTTATGCCTAACGATCTTGAAATTATGAGTCTCTCAGCCTTTCATAATATATGCTTTTGCTATCATTATTTGTTTATAAAGTAGGTTCTGGTGTTGCAACTAGACGCTCTTTCATATTTTTTCACATTTGTTTAGAAAAAAAATAGAGGAACTTGGTCAGCATGTATATTTTCTTTTTTTTATATACAAAATTTAATATATCGTATAGACTTATTATGTGATCAGCCTATTTTGTCACACATAAGTATACGCATTGGCTAAAAGTATTGTGCATAGCTTAGCAAATTCTTCTGAATTAGCGATCACTACTTCAAGCTGATGAACACTATTTCAGACTCTAAATTGAATATATGTTAACCAGAGATAAATACAATCATAACAAGAAATACTAATAATAATTCTGATTAAATCAATGCTCAATTAAATGGTAAGCTTTTATATAAGAAGAAAGATATAATAGCTATTCAGAAAAAACTTAGTATATTTCTAAACTCAGGAAAAAGACTTATTGAGAGTAGAAATCAAACAACATTAAATTAAAGCAAAAAAGGAAAAATACTTGAAGATTCATTTGGGCTGTTATTTGATTTAGTGGAGGAATTAATAGATATACAGGGAGATCTCAATATGGATTGCCACCTTATTCTTACTATATTATATAATAATATACATGATCTTGAGGGAGAGACATATGAGAAAAGGTCACTTGAAACATTATATCATTTGCTTTTATATTTGGAAGAGAATATAAGCATAATTCAGAATGTTCTTAATATTATCAGTCATTCTAATCAGAAAATAAGTAGATTAGAAGAAGCTAATAAAAATGCAAAAATGTATCTTCAAAACTTCTGATGGTTCCTTATCTTTAGTGTTTTTAGCAGAAAATAATCCAGGTGTGTTAATACAGAAATTCATCTATATAAAGTAGAAATGTTTTATTTTACTAGAAAGTAACTATTATTATTTCAATTGTGTGAAAATTCAGCTAGTATTTGTGTCTAGAATAGATTAGCTAATCTATATTTTTTTTATCACATAGGAGTACACGTGAGGCTTAGCAAAAAATCTTTCAAGCTGATAATTATCACTCTGGATTAGTTATACAATAAAGTACGACCATTTTACTTAATCGGCTAATAATCTTTAAAAAGAATATTGCAAAAAGTTTTTCTTATATGTGTCTAATGGTAAATCTGTCAGAGATAATCAAAAAAATGTGATATCTTTCAAGCTGAAGATCAGTACTCTGATTCAGTTTCAGAGCTAGAAGATTCTGAGTCAGAACAGTAATAATCTTTATTAAAATTTTTGATATAAATATTTGGATTTAGCTGGTTTATAGCTTTTTTGCTAATATTTTCACATCCTTTCAAATCTAAAAATTTTAAATTAATATGAGCGAGCAATTTCTTTGATAGTCATACTGGTAATATTACAGTGACTAAGGTAAAAATGTTAGAGCTTTAAACAAGAACATATAACATTACAAATTAATGGTTCACTAACAAAATCACAGTAATCCAGATCAAGATATTCTAATTTATGATAAGTATAAGCCAGCGCTTCAGTAACTTTATCAGTAATATCATTACCATCAATTTCTAAGTGTCTTAAATTTGAAGGTTCTTTGATGATAACTATAATCAATTTATCATTCCACAAAGCTATAGCCTCACTAAAGTTAAGATACTCTATTTTGAAATGTCTTTACATTAAAGTACTAACATTATAGATATCTCTCTTACTATATGCAATATTAAGATTTTGTAAATTTAGACATGATTTAAAATACAACTTATAGATTTATCTGTGATTTAACGTATTTCAGCAAAATGAAACACTTGTATATTATGACAATTTTCTGCAATTTAAAATAAAGATTTATTGGTAATATTTCTGCAGTAAGAAATATTTAGATGTTCTAATTTACAGCATGATTGTATAATCGCATATAAGTTTTTATCGATTATTACTTGAGCATCCTACAAATTGAGATATCTTAAATTAGAATATAATTCTACTATTATAAATAGTGATCTATCTTTAAAACCTATACTATTTTTAAAATCTAAATGATTTATATTCAGAAATGTATTCATAATACTTTTTATTTTTATCTGAAAGTGAATGATAATAAGTAATTTCTAGATGAGTCGTATTTGAGACATAAGCTGGCTTATGCTTTTCATTTATTATTTTAAAAATCTTTTCCATCTAGTATGGTTTCTCTCTTGATAGGTATAATCATCTGAAAAATAATAGCCATATTTCAAGTCATTCCCCTTTAGTTTGATGTATTTATATAGGCTAGGAATAGCATATCTGTATTATGACTAATAAATAAATAAAGCAGGATAGAGAGATTTATCTATCGCTAAAAAATGTAAAATCTGTTCTAATAGTTCTAATAAATAAAAGATGTTTGATTGTGCTATACATATTCTATTTTATATATTGTATCTTCAAATAAAAAAATAGCAAAGCATCTTTAGGAAAATTACACAATCACTGCTTAAGCCTTTCTACTATCTTATCTAATGCAAGTACTTCTAGCCTATCTAAAAGAACTTTAAATGTATTCTCAGGTGATAATCCTCTGAGGAATAGATTTTTAAGAAGCCATTTTAGATAGTTTTTGCTTAAATTACACTTTTTTAGTTTCAAATAATATTTCTTTACTGTATAATTGTCTTGAACTATTCTTCTAAATAAAAATTCCATTCTTTTGCATCATTTAAGATTCACCTCTCTTTTTTATATATTATTTATACTGCAAGAATTCTTTAGTTCCTATTCTGAAAGATATTTTAGAATAAATAATATTATCTCTGACGAAAGAAGATCAAGTAAATTATCTGTATGTATTGTTTTATTTATATAGTTAAAATACCTTTCGATCAGAAAAAAATATTACGCTAGAATTATACTGTATATTGACTAGTCAAATACTAATCAGTATCTAGACTAACATTAATCAGGCCTAGATTGTTGATCATCATTTTTAACTGCTAACTGCTTTCTTCGTTGCTTATGAAGAACTAAATTCATAAAAATCTACAGTAGCAAGATTAATCTTACCTTTTTTAGCAATTTTTTGATATTTGGCGAAAAAGCTAATTCTTGTATTAAGTTAACCACAGTCTTCCTATCTACACATTCGTCCAGTTCTACACATTTATTCAGATCTTCTATTTCAGTTTCTAAGAACTTTACATCTCTTTCTAATCTTTTTATTCTCTTTTTTAAAGTATTATGTTAAGAATGATAGTCTTCTAATTGTTTCTTTAATGCTCTATTTTCACCAGAAAATGCACTATACACTCTGCATTTTGCTTATCTAGTTCAAATGTCTGAACTAATATTTTTATATATTTGATAACTTCCTGCTCTCTGATACATCAGATGAATGATTTTGATCAGTTACTATTTTCATGATATTTTATATATGATATATCTATTTTTTCTTATATTTATTCGAAAAAAAAAACTCCCATCATCTTTATTATCAAAATCTGATTCCTGATCTTCATTACCTTTCCTTTTATCCAAATAAAGTTTATTCTTCTTATTATAAGCTATTATCTCATTTTTATTATCATATTCAGATCCTTATCTAAATATCATTTTGATATCTTCAATGTCATTGGAATCATCAAATATATCTTTTCTATTACTATATTTTCTAACATACTTTAGATCATCCAAATTAATAGGTTGTGTTAAAGAGTACTCTTTTTATAAATAAAAGAAATAATTATCAAATAGTTTTGAGAAAGTTTTTGAGTATCAATAACCATAAATGATCAAATCATATCCAACTAAAATATAATATTCTCTTTCCATATCTTTTTCTACTTTTTCATTTTCTCAGTCATCATCACTTTGATCACAATTATATATATGAAAGGTTTTGCCAAATTCTTCTGGATCAATATCTTCAAAGATATTTAGTGTTTATTAATATAATGCAAAAATTCTTATTATTAAAATAAATAAATAAATAAAAAAAATTAACCTGTTAGAGCAGGATTTGATAATTCAGCTATTTGTGCTACAAGAATATTCTTTTTTTTTCCAAAACTTTATATCATAATAAAATAAATTAAATAAAATAAATAAAATTTTTATATAATTCTTTTAAAAATCAGTAACAAAGTGTTACACTATTCATGAAAAATCATAAAAGAGATTTAAAGAGTTGGTAAAAATTTTTATTAAAAAGATCAGATTTTGATTTATACCTGATTAACAATTTTTCATAATCATGTGATATGTTTGTATTATTAAGTTAATGGATTTTGAATAATACAAAAAAATAAGAAAACAAAAATAATATCATTTTATTTTCTTTTTATGTTTAGGTTTTTTAGTACTAGTTTAATTTATATAATTTTTCATGATGTGATCAAATTAATATAATTTTATATTTTAAAATCAATTCTTGACTATTGTTAATTATATAAATAATTAATAATCATTTTTATCTACTTTATACAATTAAAATAAAATGAAAATATAAAGTTAAAAGAGATATATTGCCATTCTTAATTCTTTTAAAACATTTGATATTCATTAAGAAAATCAATATATACCTCTTTAGTATATCACTAAATTTGGTTAAATTATATTATATAGTAAATTTTTTGAATGTAAGGCTATAAAAATATAATATAAAAGTAAGAGTAAATCAGAAGTATTATTTATTTTTTACTTTTGCTAATTTTTACTTATAAATTTTTATAATAGATTTAAAATATCACCATCTTAAAATATTTGGATAGGAGTTGATTAAAATAATAGTATAGATATAAAAATTGAATATTTATATTAAAATTAGTTAATTTAATTTAAACATATAAAATCATTTTAGTTAAGGTATAAATATTAAAAATTATTCAATTATTTTGTATTAAATTTTTCTTATATTATTTAAATAAATACCCTAAGGCCTATAGTTTAGAGTTTAGTTTATTATTTTTAAATTTTATTATCAATTTAATGTTTAATCAAAATAAAGAGTAAAATTATAAATAGACTTAACAAAAAATTTACTTTTAACCTTATTTTTTACAAGAATTTGTATAAAAGGCAATTTGCTATACTTGTGAGAGCCAGAAAAAACAATTTCATTTCTGATTTAATAATTTTTACATATATATAGTAATTTAGAAAAATTATTAATGTTGAAAATTTGTCTTAGAAAAATAATTTACAAAAGTCATTAGATTAAATTTCCTATTATAAGCGTTAAAAACCGTATTTTATAAATGTATGACATTTTATGAATTTGATAGCTTTAATAAGAGCTATACTTTCTTGAACTGTTTCTGCTACTCATCTTTAAGAGGATTTATTTTATAAATAAATTTTATTTGTCCAAGAATCTGGTTTTCATTTATTTAATTTATTCCAATTTGTTTAGTTCTTCAATTTATAATTCTTTAATTTCTTGTAATTTCATTTTTATTATTTTAGCATCATCATTTTTTTAAATTCATATCATTAATTATTCTTTTAAGTTTCATTAGATTATCATAATATTCTTTTTAAGTTTTCAGAATCTATCTTTTTTTAATCTTAACAATTCTTTATCTTCTGTTTATTCTTTATTGTTAGACTCTCCTTTTGATTATTTTATTGTTATCAGTAGAATCTAAATCTTCAGTAATCTCTTCTTCTTTATTTCTATTATTTAATATTATCAGTATAGTTGTATTTTTCTTTTATTACTTTATTACCATTTTTAATTCCATTTATTCTACTTATTTTATTACTCAATTTTCTTAATTATTATCATACCTCTCTATTAGATTTCATTATCATTAGGCCTTCCATTTGATTATTTTCTTGTAATCTGTAAAATTTATAATTCATTAATTTTGTTTTTTTGTTTTCAGTTTATTAATAAGTTTCTATTTTCATATTATAACAGGTTAGTTTTTGACATTGACTTAAACATAACAAAAAGATTTTCAATATTGCAATCATGATGTAAATATGTTATTAGAAGATGTTTTCTATTTATTTATAATTTTTAAATTTTATTATTTATAATTTTATAAATTACTAAAAATTAAGGCGAACCTATTATTCTTTTCTAAGTATTCAATTACGCATAATATTCTTTATTAATTCATTATTAAGGTATATGGGGATTATGATCTATATTTTACATGAAGAATTCTACAGTCAACTCTTAATATAGTGAACTTTTGATATAACAAATTTTTTGAATAAATATAATAAAAATACTCTTGTTATAGTGAATTGGCCAATCAAATCTCTTAAAATCTTCACTATAGCCTTATAGCGAAGTTGAAGTCTATGACATAAAGTTCGTTATGACAAGAGTTGACTGTATTTTATTTATATAAAATTAATATAGATCATTTCTGTAAATTCTATAACTTCTTAATTTCCAATTTCTGCAATTCTTAAGTTTTTCTAATTATTTCTGTATTTTCTGTAATTTTTGTCTACAATTCTGTAATTTCTTAATTAATCTAATAATTCTGTTATTTTCATTCTTCTCATAATATAATTCATAATATTATATTTTCTTTTTAAGATTTCTTTTGTTTTCCTTATTTAGAAGTTATCCAACATTTGGTAAGTAATTTATCCTTTTCCTTTAGTAAATAATTTATTCTTCAACTAATAGTTTATTTGTATTCTGTATTTTAGTTTTTCAGTTGAATATTTATCTATTGATCTTTTTTTTATTTATCAAATATTTTTATAATTATTTGTTAAAATATCACATGATTTAATTTTTATGAAATCTTGACTCTACACTGTAGATCATATTAAGAAAGATCTTAATCGACATACTGCATTAGAAAATCAGGTTAATTTATTTAATTTGAAGAATTTGCAAAATTCATCTGATTTACCTGATTTAATTTGATTGGCTTATTTTATTAAATTCTTTACATATTTATTATTTTTTATTATAATTATTATTTTTATTATTTATTATTGTTATATTTTATCTTCTATTTTATATCTTTATTTTATTATCTTTTATTATTATTTTATAAGCGAAGTTTATCAAAATAGTTAGTTTATAGCATAGCAAATAGTTAGTTATAGCAAATTTATTTTGTATAAATAGAATAGCTTTTTGCTTAAGTTATAAATTAACTCAGTTATAAGTTTACAAACTCATTTGTAAGTTTTACATAAGTTTCAAGTTATAAATAAAGGAATCAATTTAAATCCATACAAATTTACTTTTTCCTTCAATATTGTCCCTTATCTAGAATTTATTGTGATACTTTATACTAACTTGCTATTAAATTTATTATTACGAGTTTGACTAATATATTTTAAATTCTAAAATATGATAAATTGCCAAATTAATTTAAATATAATAGATATTTGTATGACTTAAAGAAAATCCTAAGGTCAGAAACTCTAATGTGTAGAATCAACTGCCGCAGCCTTTTAACTTAGATGTTAAAATAAACGAAAATAAACCTAGTGATAATATAAGCTTAGTAGGCAATTATCATTAATCTTATTTTATAAATATTTATGTAGCAAATACTTATAAGGATTAGGTCTATATTAAGAATAAGCAATTTAGCTTTTGATATTAATTAAATCATCAAAAAGAAATAAGATTAGGTAATAGTAAATCTAAAACTTTTTATTTTATATATTTATTCTCATTGAACAAGTAAAATATTATGATAACTGAAAATTTATATTATGTGATATTTAAAGTCATATAATAATATTATACTTTATTTATTATTATTAATTTATCTCACATTATAATTAGCTAATATAATTGATTATGCATATAAATATACAAATAAATCTAATTTATTGAAAAATTCTGTTTTTCTTATATTTAATAAAAATTAAAATATTATCAATATTATAATAATAGCAAACTATTTCATATTTAACTTTATTTATTATGATATACCTAAATTTTTTTATTCTTTATATTAAATTTACTTTACAAATTAATTAATATATTTATAGCTTATATTATGAAATAATCATGATACTATTTAAAAAGTAACAAAAATTATCAGTTAATTATTTTTTTAATTTTAAGTTCTATATAAGTTAAAAACTAGATTCAATTCTCAGGTAGTTTAATAATATAATAAATTTAATTATATTTATAAAATCTTATTTAATAATTTTTATCTAATAATATAGTTAAATACTTATAATATTAGAATAATATTATTAATTTATAAGACTTTCAAGTAAGAATTTACTCTAGTATTACACTATCTCTAGTAATTAAATAGAGGTTAAACTTATAAGAATCTTAGGTAGAAATAATTATATTTAATAAATAAATTACTTAATTATCATTGAGATTGTTAAATAAAACCTAAAGATTTTGCAAATCATTTAAATAGTAAAAGATATAATTTAATAAATTATATTAAAATCTTATTAAAAAAAATTTACAAAACTCAGAAAAAGGTAAAACTATATTAAAATTTATAAAATAGCAAAATTATATTAAAACTTTAGTAAAAAAATTAGTAAAACTAGACTGATTTAAATCTAATTCATATTTAACAATTTAGATCAAATCAGATTTATCAAATTTGAATTGAATTTAGATTCAAATTCAAATCAGATCAAATCCATCACATTCAGATTCAGATTTAGATCTGATTTAAAAAAAAAGGTAATTTTTGAACTTTAAAGTCTATTAACATATTGGATTAAATAATAACTACTAGTATACTTTTTATAAAAACCAGGTTTAGAGCTAGACAACTTATGACAAATTTTTGTAAAAAGGTGTTTTTTAGCTTTTCAATATTTATGATAACCTTCAGAATATATGTAAGAATGCTCACTGATATTTTCAGACGAAAGCAAATAGTTGCAAAAATATTCACCTAGCATGATTGAAAAAATATAAATTAATAATTTTATTATAAACAAAGTTTTTAATATATTAATAAAAATAGTAAAATTCAAATAGTTAATCATAAAGATATCGATTTAGTATTACTTAAGGTGATTAAAAATAACATATGGGAGTGTTTCTAGGAAAATCAGGTTCCGAGAAATTTTTGACTAAAATAAAGAGCTTAATACATTTTTAATCTAATAACATCAAAAACTAAAATGCAATAAAAATCTCAATTTTGCTAAAAAATTCCCGGAACCTGATTTTCCTAGCAATCAACCCATATAGTAAAAATACAAAAAATATATGTTCATAGCATACCACCCTGTCGTCTCACTACAATTTTTTCTTAGGTTCCACAAGTGATTTTTATTATGATACTACCGAGAATTCGGCACGTGGAAATGATTAGGTAAGATAAATTTTCATGACGCATAATTCAAAAATCAGGTGATGGCAAATCCAACAGAAGTATTACTGCGCCGATAGTACATTAATAGATTGGTGAATTTCAGAAAAACAATGTCCGAAATACGATTGGAACATCCAAAAAAGTGGAAAGTTCGATTAGCAATTTGATGACATTCTCTAGAACCTAGCCGAGTAATAAAACCAACATACGTTATTGCTTACTCGTTCGCTTGATTAATTGATGTAAAAGGTAAATTTATTTTATTATTTGTTATTTTCGTTCAATTTTGTTTTACTTGCATGAAGCGGATAAAAACTAGTAAAACTTACCTCCCTTTTATATGTTTGGTAAATTTTGTCTTCCACAAACCCGTGATGATCGAAGTGGAATCATCAGAACGCAAGTTTTATGTATGAAATTTAAGCAGTCAGCGAATAATAACTAATTTTACATACCTCATAACCTATATTCATGATCCAAAATCGAATTATTCATCTTTAGGGAATCATATAAGTATGATTGAGTCATGAAATCAATCCATTGATATTCCATATATTGTCAAGTAAAAAATAAAATAATTAGCATAAGTTCAATCCCTTTACTTATCTTTTGGTAGATTAAATTTCGCAATGAATTAATAATGACCCTTTATCCCTGAATTTCAACTGAAAGGCAAATTCGATTAACAGATTGACGAAATATCAAAAGCAAAAAAAAATTAATGCATGCCAATTGATTTGCAAAGAATTTGACTTTATTATAAAATTAGTAGTAAAAAAAACGAATTACAAAGTTTGGAATCACCCGTGATCGTAGTCAATTAAATGATGATTCTTTCTAATATTTCAACCTCAGCCTGTTCTTATTCCGACTATGGATTAAAGCTTAGTTGACTAAAAAATTGAATTAAGACACGATTTGCTTTATATCTAAATATTTCTTCTTTTGTCATCGTATCTAAAAAATCTTTTATAGGAGCTATTTCAGAACTTACGTTAGCGGTACTAAACATTTGTTTAATCTTCTGCTTTTTTGGTAGTGGTTCTTTCACTTCAGAAGTAGAAGTGCCCGAAACTTGATCCATTTCAGTATTTCTAATTCTTGATCCAATTCTAATTCCGCTAATGCAAGGTTTTTTTTCGTAACAGTGCCACAGCATTAACTCTTGAAAGTTTGAACTCTATGATATTTCTATCATTAAGCCAAAAAAAAAACAGCCAATCGTCTATCAAATCAGTCAACACAGTATGATTTGATTTTAAATCCGCCGAGATTAATTCCGCCATAATTTGAAATGTATCTGCTTTTATAATGGTTTCTTATATTCAAAAAGGATTCGAATATTTTTCTCTGGGAATTGCATGGTAATAGAATATCTGTCTACTATAACTTAATGTGTTGTACCAGATAATTTTATTGGAAGGATGTCAGCACATGTAATAAGAAAGGAACTATCATTTATTGTATCAAGGCTCTGAAATGAAGAAAGTTTGAGAATATTAGTGAAATTAGTCTTAAATCTTTCGTTTTGTAATCTTTCTGTTTCATCTGACCATTTGAATGCATTAATCCTCTAGTCCAATATGTCAAGGCCTGGAAGTTCAATTTCAAGAGTTGTTAATTTATAATCAAGCTCAGTATACTTTGCCAAGTATTCTTCTTCTTTTACGCTTAATATTTGTATTACAGATTTATCTTTTCTTAAATCTTCAATTTTTTCATTCATCATATCGAGTCTTGTGATGATTTCATTATCGTTTCTTGTAGCTGAGACACAAATGGTCAAATAAAAAGATGGCAATTCCGATTATCCGATTATAACGAGCAAAGGCCAGTAAAAAAAAATAGTCCGCCACAGAAGAAAATAATATTGCGGAGGAAATGGGAAAATATTACACTTCGATTCACTAATTCCATTACAATTCTACTTTTTGTTTAATATTGAACTATTTTCTCCAGGTATCTAAAACTCACCGGTGATAGTAGGCAACTCAACAATGATCATCAAGGGTTATGGAGAAGCAACTCTCCATCAAGCACATTCGAAATGTCTACACTAGGGTCATTGAGATATGGCGAGTTAATAGGGACATTAACCTTCCATAATTTAAGGTTTTTTGCTTTGAAATTATCAGGGACATCGATCTTATCCTTGATAACCTCTCTCAGCATGTCAACGGTCTCACTCTTATTTATCTTAACTGCGAAAGCAGAACACCGTAAATTAGACGAAAAAAAAAGTGCTGAAATTGTGGCTTATACAGTGGCTCGCAAATATTTTCGAACAACCCTAATAATTGAATATTAATTTATCGTTGTAACAAAAAACAATTTTTTTTAAGAACACTTTATTTAATTAAAAAAAAAATCAATTTCATATGAAAGTTTATTTGTCTTTTCGATCAACATACGGTAATTGTTAAATTTATGCACCATTAAAATCCGACTTCATTAAACCATATAATCGGTGTAACCTGTCACCCATATAAACTTGATCATTTACGCAATTGATTTATTTTCCTAAACATCATGTCAACTTATTCGCAAAATGAGAAAAAATTATTATACTCTAAATGGTGCGAGAAATTTGACCTTGCAAGGCACTCCTTACTTGCCATTTTTGAACGACAGGACGGAATTCAAGAAGTGAAACGTAAAGGAATTATTATTGATAGTGAAATATCACGTGGAGAATTCCAAGAGTTTAGTGAAAGGGAACCAAGGATTTCTGTAAAATTCCGTTTAATCGAAGGAAAGATCGAAGCTTATGAAATGCCTATCGAACCTCACTCTATTGTACAAGGAACGTTAATTGGTGTCATGTATAACTGGAGTAATCAATTGAAAGTAATGGGTGAAACTGATATAATTGTGGGTCCAAGAAGTCTTTATCGTTGTGACATTTGCGTTCGACCAATGAATCGTTCACTACCTCAAACCGCACGTGCCGTCAACACATCAGGAAGAATATATCCAACTTTAGTTGTGGAAGTTGGTAATACGGAAAGTGTAAACAGTTTGCATGGTTTAGCTGCGGAATATTTTTCTACATATACCACGATTCAATTATATTTGGCTATAAAGATATTTCCTCCTCATCAGGATAATACTGTTGCGTTGCTTGCACTACTGTATTCACGCAATAATCCAAATCCAACCATACCAATAATCGTAAAGTCCTTTGGAACAGCATCTCTACACATTTCAACACAAAGATATCTCCAAAGTACTGTAAATGTTCCAGTCAATATAATTACTGGAGTCGGATTTGGGGCAGTTGCTTGTGATGGTCCTGGTATTGGAGATTATCAAGTAGCTATTCCTACCAACTTACTATTTAACGGTGCTCGTGTTCCTAATGATGTACCTGATAATTTCTATATAGATTTATTTAAGTTGCAAAATGCAATTCTGAATTGGTGAAACATTTACATATAATAGTAACTTT